CATTTAGTTTTTTGGCACCGAATCTGGTCTAAGAGGCAAATGAGCTAAATTATCGGATCTCTCCACAAATTCTTTAATAAATGCCCTAGCAGGCCAAAATTCTTTTAAAATCGACTGTACAAAAATATTTTCAGGCACAACGATTTTGAAAGAAGATCTACTTTCAGAAAATGCAGATCGGAGCTTATAGCATCTCAAAAAGTAATCTCCCTCAATTTTTGATTTTATATAATACATTATGTCATCGGCCGTTGTTTCTGGCGCAAACCTTGTTGCAAATATCATTTTCATGGCGGGAGCCATAGGTAATGATCTTTGGACAGGTTGAGTTTTGCCAGTAGCAGTCTCGGGACGATCACTAGTGATAGGTGAAGGAAGTGATAATTCCTGTATGTTACGAGTAGATTGGGAGGTTGTCTTAGAAACCTCACTATCAATACTCATAACTTCAGGATTATTTACCCCTTTACCTATACCGCTGTTATCTACCGGCACTGGGTGTGTAACAACACTGGCATACGACTGTTCACGTCCAGTCTCAGTTGTTTCGGTGATATTAACTGAAACCGGTTGTGGAACAGTGTTCTCCACAGAAACTATTGCTTTGCGACTAAGCATTCCCTTAGTGGGTGCCTTTTTCGCAGCCCTTTTGCGTTTCTGGCCAGAAACTGACGGTGACGACACAAACTCATCTAATTCTTGGTATTTCTCAAACAATGTAGAGAAATTCTCGAATCGGAGTGATAGTGAAGAAAAATCTTTTTTCATCGATGTCAATTCCGACTGCAAATCCTTTACAAAATTATAAAAGTCTGCAGAGAGTTTCCTACATTGCACACAACACTAACGAACACCAACATTATTTCTAATTGTGTCTACAATTTTTGCATTAATCCTAGCACATTTTGCATGCCATTGATTAAGACAAAACCAACAGGTAACACACAATTCATCCTCTGCAACAATATTACATAATTCAAAAGGGCACGACATTTTTTATTTAATTATTATTTATTTTAATTATTATTATTTTTTTTTAATACACAAGTTACAGCTATATTTTTCAAGATTAGATCTGTAGCTGGAATTTTTTATTTATTTATTTATTTATTTTATTCTTTTTTAAATTCTTTTTTAAATGTTGGCAACTCTTATGAGATGACAAACAAAACAAGACGATATGTTACAACAACTAATTAGCTAATGTAACAAAAGAAAGAGGATAAAAGGAGAATGTACAACTACACAATTTGAAAATTGATATTACTTTAAAAGACAAAACAAAATTTTAAAATACTACACCAATTATCGGAGCACCACAATTTTTTGAAACTAATCACAACAGGGTTGCCAACTGATTTAACGGCGTAGAAGTGACAGATCCGAAGAGGTGCGCGTGTTATTTTAACCGGCAGTTTGTAGAGCACCCCGAGAGTGATAGGGCGAAGAGAAGGATACTACGCCGTGTACGATACCTTCCAGCCGAGGGGGTACCACCACAATTTACGTTGGCAGATGTTGCACAGGTCATCAGATGCGCAAAGTCGTCCAAAGCGCTTGGTCCTGACGGAATCTCAATGGTGATGTTGAAGCAACTGGATGAACCAGGAGTTGAGTATCTGACAAAGCTTCTCAATCTGTCGTTAGCCACCCTAGTATGCCTGGAAAATGGGCAGGGTGGTCCCGCTACTGAAGCCAGGCAAGGATGTCAGCAAAAGTGATTCATACAGGCCGATATCACTTTTGTCACCAGTAGCAAAGACGCTTGAGGCTTTACTCCTCCCCAGCATAAGAGAGTGTTTCCCAGCAGCCGATCATCAACACGGATTCCGGAAATTGCATAGCACAACAACAGCTTTACACGCCATTTCCACACATGTCAGTAGAGGTCTCAACCAGAACAGGCCGTGCAATAGAACAGTTATGGTAGCACTTGATTTATCAAAAGCCTTTGATAAAGTCAATCATGCCACACTGTTCGAGGACATTGAACGCACCACCCTCCGGCCAAGTTTGAAACGTTGGATATTAAACTACATGTGTGGACGCCGGTCGTACGTGGAATTCAGAAACAAGAAGTCGAGCATCCGTAGAGTTAAACAGGGAGTTCCCTAAGGTGGGGTGATATCTCCGGAACTGTTTAACCTCTACCTTTCTGAAATTCCACGCCCTCCAGACGGCATAGAGATTATAACGTACGCAGGTGATTGTACGCTCGTGGCGTCCGGACCCATTATTGATGACATTTGCGATCGGTTGAACGCTTACCTTATTGATCTTACCGCCTTTTTCACTGCGAGGAATATGAAGATATCCGCCACTAAGTCGACGGCCACACTTTTCACCACATGGACTGCGGAGATGGGGCTATCCTTGAATGTACAGGTCGATGGTGCTATTATTCCGACCACCAACTACCCCAAGGTACTAGGGGTCACATTCGATAGCCTCTTTAATTCGTCCGCGCATACCACAGCTATCTGCGACAAGATTAGAAGTAGGAACAAGGTCCTCAAGTCTCAGTGCTACGCAGTGGAAAAATGTTCAGTCCTGCCAGAATGCCGCCCTTAGAACCGCAACAGGGTGCCTTCTCATGACACCTGTCGATCACCTACATGAGGAGGCGAAGGTCTTACCGGTGCGACAGCATAACAAAATGCTGTCAATGCAATACCTGCTTGGGTGTTATAGACAAAGCCATCCAAATCACCATCTTGTGGATAGGCAACCTCCGCCCAGGTACGTTAGGAAAGACCTTCATGATCTAGAGAGAGAGGTACAGAGGTATAAGAGAGAGCCTCTAGATCAACAGGCCTATCAAGCGGGACTGAATAGTATTCACTCTAATGCGGTCTCAGAAGCCATTGAAGGATATAGAGTGAATACTGTGCTAGGAGACCATCCCCCTCCCGTCGCAGCTGAAGAACGAGAGCTGCCCCGACAAACCCGAGTAGTCTTGGCTCAATTACGATCCGGATGGTGCAGCCGCCTAAATTCCTACTGGGCCCGGATCAACGGCGACGTGCAGAACATCTGCCCAGCATGTGGCACAGGCCCACATGACACGCTGCACTTATTTCGCTGCCCAGCCAAGCCTACTCACCTAACTCCAGTCTCCTTATGGACACAACCCATAAAGGTTGCATCCTTCTTGAGACTGGACTTAGAGGCAGAACCCGATTAAACTGAGTCAGAAAATGGAAACCGAACGAACACAGATGTATGAGCTGCTACAACAACAACGTTTTGTTCTAGGTAATATTCCCAAAGACCTATATGTCGAAAATGCATAGAAGCAGAGCATTTAAAAACTCGTCCCTTATATTTAGGTCTTCTTGCTCTACTTTCATAGTATACAGGCTTTTGTAAAGTACATTATTGAATAAACCAAATCAATAACATGCTATTTTTAATAAATTAACTGATTTTTTATACACGTTACAGCGTACTTTGTAGTACAGTGGAAAAAATTACTTAAAATACGCTGTTTTGAGTCCTCCTGTAGTTTTGAAAATCTATCTTGTCGATAGTTAGCAGTGTTGCTAATGTGGCGTTTCCACTGCACTTGATTCGCTCTCTATTCGTTGTTTGACCCTTATGCTAGGAACACAATTGGAGCGAACGACGAATTTCGCCCTACGCGGCGACAAAATGAGCCGCGAAAATTCGTCGTATGGAACACAATACCGACGAAATTATAAAACAGCTGATGAAGTTGTTTACTTTTTGCTCATTTGTTGACTACAATGAATTATACAAGAACACATAATTCTTTACGTTCTCTATTATAATTTCACTTATGTCCATCTTCTCTATTATAAATTCACTGATATCCATCTTCACTCAGGCGCAAGTACACAAATAAATAAACAAATTAATTATGTTTTTTTATACGATTAACAGATAGTAGAGTGACCATAACAAATTTTAAAGTAAAAAGTAACTTTATTTACTAAAACACATAAAATTCGTACAAGTATGGCCACCTTGTACTGTTTTGTTCGCCGGTCGCCGGCGTATGAAATAGAAATAAAGCTAATTGAGTTCGCGGCGACCGACGAAATTTTCGCCGGTGCCGTGATTGTGTGCACTTCCATATACACATATGTGTTTTATTTTTGACGACGAACATACGCCGCGAAAAAATTCGTCGTTCGCTCCAATTGTGTTCCTAGCATTAACTATGAAAAAACTACTTAATTCTTCACACAAAATTTCCTGAGCGAACACTCATATTTGTACATAATTCAAATCAAATCACTCTCAGAACAACGAAAAAGTATGTCCCATCCCTAAAAAATGAGAGCATTTATCGAAAAAATAAATTATGACATTTAAAAATTAAACTAAAAAACTTTAATGAAATTTTAAAAATTTTTGGGAAGACTGAAAATTATGAATGAAAACTACAATGTTGAATGGCGTATGTACATTCAAACGAAAGTACATTTTGTTTTCTCTTTCATTAGAGGTACGCATTTTGTCCACGAGTTGAAATTTCCATAGAAAACTGCAAACAAAAGAGGCAATATTTTCAAAATGTTTGTATCTGGAGAAAAAAATGTTGACAAGTGTCTCTCCAGCAAAATTTAAAAATAGAAAAATACAAAAATATGTTCAAAATGTCAAAATTAATACAAAAAGTTGAAAACATGAATGAAAACTGTAAAATTAATGATATAATTATTCTTTGGAAGAAAAACAATATTTTCTTCTATTCATATTAGTGAGAATTTCATGTATTTTTGTATAAATTCCCATTCAAATCAACAAACAAAATTTTTGAAAAAATGAATCATTTTACTATGAATTACGAATCGTGCCGTATGAACGGGTTAATTCGTGTACCTAATTCTGAGAGCGAACAACGTTGTTCGGTTTTCAATGGAAACATGCTATAACTCACGCAAGTGTGCGTTTAAGTTCGATAAAAAAATTAATCGTTGAAAATTTGTGGGAATTAGAAAAATATCGGTAATCAATTTTGCTGCAAAGTATTTCCATCACTAAATCAGATTGTCGCAAGCAATGAACAATACTGAAACTTTTCTGAACTATTTGCGTCGTCGGGCTGAAAATAAATGTCTTTTAGAGGTTACAAAACTGATTGAACATGTCGAAAAATACGGGTGTGAAAATAAATCACAGGAACAAAGAATTCTGGATGAACTCATCCGTCTTGCTATCAATGATAATTCAATTCCCTACGAGTATGTAGTAAGTGTTGTTGGCTGGATGACACACCTTCAAGAGCAAAATAAACTTGTATGCTTGAGCGGGTCACAATTTGATCAGGTTATCCAATGCCTTTTTCGGATTTTAGAAAACTACAACAATGATTTGAATTTGTTGCCGAAATTATGTACTGTGTTTGCTGTTCTTTTTACAACACATCCAATAAACAACACTGCACACTTCGTTCGAATTGCTAGAGGACTAGTGAGCCACCTCCATTGGGACAGTGGAACGGACGTAGTTGTAAATATTATTCGGTGTCTTGAGAGTATACTTGGTATTTTGAGTTATGGACAAACAAATCTTGCCATTGATATTCTGGAGGCATGTGAGGAAATTGGAGAGAAAATGCTATATATATTTTACAGCAGCTGTAATGTTTTTACATCAAAATTAGAAGACGATATTATGCCAATGTATTTGTCACATTCACTGCAGTTGATTAATCGTATTATCTCCATAAACTCGGAGTTCTGCAGAAAACATATTTCAGAACTTTTAGGAATATCAAGAGCGTATTTACATTTCGGCATCGAACAGTATGATGGTGCATTGTCAGCACCGCAGAAGGTGTACATGTCACAGCAAGCTTTATATGATTCAGCCGAAGATTATGATTCGAACCTTAATTCCGAAAGGATTCGGAAATGTGGTGGCAAAGCCCAAAAAACCCGCAAACCTCGTCTTAAGACTAATAACACTGATCGGAAACCGTCCAATGCCGGTCCGGAAGGAAAAATGGGGCTTTTGACAATGGATATGAAAACCAGTGACTCTGAAACGTCTGAGCATGAATGCATAGGAAATAGTGTACTTTTTGAAAGAAACAAAATGGCAAAGATTCGTTTAACATCAATATCATTAGTCGGAGCTATAGCAAAGGCGGTTGAACGAAGGGTTTTATATGGATATTGGCATGTCTTATTTCCTAGTGGAACAGGTAATTGAAACAAATGTCATAGTATCACCATCTCTCTTTATTTCTAAGAATTATGAAAATATTTAACTATTTTGAGATTATAAATAGAAATCTGCAATTATAGGTGAATCCGCAGATAATTTGCTCTATATAGGCCAACACGACCCCAGCATGCGTTGCAGATGTGCTGCGTTACAAGTTTGTGCTCAACTTTTATATGGCTCTAAAGGATTTTTACATCAGGCTGAGATAAATATAAAACGCTGCCCTTCTACGTTTATACCATTTTCCGTTAGCCTTGGACATACGATAGTTGCTATATATCGGGCTTTTACAGCGATGCTTTCGACGGAAAATTCTTTACCTGTACTCACTCAAGCTTTAAAATGTTTAGCAGTCTTGGTCCAAGCAACACCATTTCAGAAATTTGACAAGGCTTTTGTGCAAAACTTGGTAAAGCATGTAAAACCTCTTATTTATCATCGCGATGCTGCCATTCAAGTGTCATCCTTAATGGTATTGGAGTTTCTGATAAGCTCAACAGACACTTGTATAGAAATAGCTGAGGCTTTGGGATTTCCCGGTGGTACTAGCAAAAGAAGTATGACTATACCTCCAAATCCACTTGGCGAAGAAGATTTGGATATAATAGATGATGAAGAATTTGTGGAATCAGATTTAAGCGACGAAGAAAAATTTAAGGATGAAATTGTGTCGATAAAAAAGAAAGACAATGTTTCCGAACATTTACCAATGAGTGAAAACTCTTGGTTAATTGTGCGTTTGCTACATAATCTAACATATAACGACAATGTTACAGTACCCGCATCGATACGAATAGAAAGTTTGCAGGTATTAACAGCAATGAGCTCACATTTCGCTATGGTAAAGGCCCATCTACCCAAGATCTCTGTTGTGCTGCAAAAATCCATGAATGATTCTCTTCCAGATGTTCGCTTATATGCTGCACGATGCATAGATAGCTGTGCTTTTCAGATAAGTCGTCAAGTAATGGAATCCACTGCCTCATCTTCCTTTCAAACAGACATTCAAAATTTTAGCACATTTTGGATGAACATGGTTCCAATTGTAATGGAACATATTCGAAGGGATAAGGAGGAAGCAAGCACTGTACGAACTGTCTTATGTGATGCTCTTTCCAATATCGGTGTGGTTATGTTTGAAAACTGTTCGCAGTCCATGCAACTGGCTTTGTTGAGTTTCCTTTCTGGGGTTAGTTCAGACTGTTCTGATGAGCCTATCGTTCGAGCAACGGCTGTACGAGCATTAGCCGTTTATGTACTCTATCCTTCGTTGCGTGGTGACCTGGTATTTGTAGAAAATACGGCAGATCTAATTTTGCGTCTCGTAGAGAATTCAAACTTACTTGTTCGTGTCAAATCATTTTGGGCATTGGGCAACATTAGTGATGCCTTAATAGCCAAATTTGTTGAAGCCAAAGAAAATCCGGAAAGAATTTCTGACGACCTTCTCTATCGAATGATAAAAGCGTCCACAACTGCTTGTGGTGATAACGACAAAGTCCGATGTAATGCTGTTCGTACTTTGGGAAATCTACTGCGTCTGTTGACAGAGGAACATTTAAAAATGGAGAATGTACAAAGAGATTGGCGAGATTTGTTTGAAAAATCAATTTGTAAACTTACCGATTGCATACGATCTTCTAGTAATGCAAAAGTTAAATGGAACACTTGCTACGCCATAGGCAACATTATGCACAACCACATAATATTCGGGAACGAAGCCACTACGGATTTATCAAGCTGGCAACAGACACTGTACACGGCTCTGTGTCACGTTATTGTCAATCACTCCAATTTTAAAGTCCGTACGAATGCTACAGCAGCTTTAGTGAATATATCGGAGCGATCACATTTTGGCAGCTACTTTGAGAAGTTTTGGTCGTGTATATTAGAGGCCATTGAACAGTCACATCATTTAGAAAACTTCCATGAATATAATCACCGTGATAACTTACAGGAACAACTGTGTTTAGCTCTGGCACATTTCATCCTCATTTCGTACAATGAAGATTGGCCCATGCTCAAGAGGCAGCTCTCAACGAATATTGATGTCGTGAGGAGTACATGGAAACGTGTTATCCTCCGGATGATACCAGAAAAAGCGGCACCTCTTCTTTCATGTCCCGTTATTCTAGCCGAACGCTCGAAGCAATCACAAAACATAAGCATGGAACAAAAGTTTGCGGGTGATTTTATATGCAATGCCTTAACCATAGAATAAAATTTAAATAAAAACACATAAATTTCATCTTTGTAATTTATTCGACTTCGAACATAGCTTATAACCATAATAATACATATAATTACAATTTCGCTATTTTTGTTGAATACACTAACCTATAAAAATGTTTTTTTTTTTTATTATTGAACACTAGAGTAATGTTTCATCTTTAGGTATATATTTTTTGGTTTCGGAAAATTGGTGGTTACGCTTTTGGAGGTAAATACTAAAAAATCACACTTTACACTGCTGTTTGGTTAACTCCTGTGTATATCGATTACATCTTACAAAAATAATGTGCACATTTTTCTTGTATACTTGGATACTTGGCCGATCACGGTGATCAAATGCTGCATCTTGTTGTTATCGGTGCGTAGACTATGTGTATTTTACCTTAGGTCTCCGAAGGAAGACACTTTTGTTGCTGTTCTCAAGATCCTCCAAACTAGACAGTAACAATTTATAGGGAAAACGTGAGTGGTGCACCAGAACCTCTATTTTGTAACTTTTTTAATGCTTAAACCTGATGATTTGGTTGGAAGCCTAATTTTTGACATAATCGGTTTTCAACTTAATATGATAAATTAGTATAGCTAAATAAGTAAATTCGTCTTTTATTTGAAAACAAATTATAAAGAAAATCTAAACAAAAATACATTGAGACTTTGATACAAAACGATGGCCTAAATATCAGGATGTCCAGGAGACTTTTAATTAGTTTAGCATGAAAATGCTTGATATGACTCATTTATTTTTTATACTCACAATTAAGGCCAAGTTAATAAGGTCAACCCGGATAGAACACTTACACTTATATTGCCGTTAAAGGTTTGTGTGGATACATTTGGTACATATTTTTAGATTAAAGAAAATGTGTGTTTGACAGAAAAAACGACGGGCGCCATAAGACATACACAGCTCTTGTATGTGTTTGAATAATTATTTTAAATATATTCGAATTCTGTTGAAATTAAAATTCATACATACACCGCTTAAATGTAATATTTTGTTATTCGATTAGCGAAAACCACATAATACTATTCAATTTTCTCTTAAATTAAGAATTTACGATCAATTTCCATACAATGTTCCCACAAACGTTGTAAATAGATTCGGAGATCGACGATAATCGAGCTACACAGTTAAAACGTCTTAATTCGTCATTATTATTTTTTTGCCTCACAGCAGGTCAAATTATCAGTGTAGTGTTCAGATACAAAAACATATAAACAAAAATGCGTTCTGTCAAAATTCAATTTCGGTATAATTTCTGTGTTTAACTTTTGTGGTGAAAGCGATGAAGGCAACATAATCAAGTTGTAGAAAAAATAAATAAATAAAATAAAAAATAGTAGAATCAAAACAAAAAATGGCTAAAAATGTCATAAAAAATGTGAGATCAAAAATGTATAAATTATTAAAAATGTTTGGGGTTTTGTAATTTCTTAATTGTAAGTTATAGTAAATAACATATAGCGAGACATATATATTCCTGTGTGGAAAAACAATAATTCTCTCTAGAATATCCAGAAAAGATGTTGTCAAGCAAACTACCCAGTTGAAAAAAAAAAAAAACATTTTTTAGAATTTGTCTCCTGGTCAACCTGGTAAGTAAGCATTGGGCTAAATTACTAAATAATTTGGACGAATTCCGATGTATAATCATAAGAAATATATGATTGTTGGAAGAAATAAAATCTAAATGTCTTATGTAAATAATTCATCAAGATCAAGGTGCTAAACATTGGAATTACTATCTTCTAAGGGATATAAATGAACTAGAATAGCATAATAATGAAAACCGGCAGCTATTACCACAAACAAATGCCATATGGCATGAGCCATTGGTATCAGACCGTCCGATTTAAAGAAACATATCCCCACAATATAGAAAAATCCACCCAATTTAAGTTCTGTCATACCAGGAAATTCATGACCCGTCCCGAACACTGCTAAAGCCGGGCCTAATCCCATGAGTATGTAAAAACATGTTTCCAAACATTTAAATCGTTCGTGAAAGATCTGTAAAAAAGGAATAGTTTCTATGATTTTTTTAACCTTTTCCATCCATCAACAAAAATACCTGTTGATATGTGATACCAATTGCTGCCATTAACCAAATAACCCATTCCAAGCATATGAGAAGCGCGGAATGGTTGGGATTCTCTAACTGCAGCCAAGGAAAATATGACGCAGCTATGAATATGTAAATCATAGCACGATCACAGCGATGTAGAACATTTTTGATACCACTAAAAGTAAAAGAGTGCAGCTTAAACATTTTTATTAAATGAACCGATAATATTGTGTCATGATATTATAAACAAAGTCAAAGTTAAAATAAAAATATATAAAAAAGAAATTTAATTAAAAAATCTAGTTAATGGAAGATGAAGAATAAATATCTTTTAATAAGAGCTGAATTTTCTTTAATATTTTTTATACCTTTAGATATTCAATGATCAAAAATAACTTCTTATTATAGCTTATTGCGGACGACAAGACCTATATGAGATTCCTTAAATGACCCAAGCCTACATTTATGGACAGCGCTTTTGACTTGGAACAAAAATGTATTGGTCTTAATAGAGAAAATTTCTTATGCATAGATTTATTCGTGTATCTAATTATTAGAATACAAAATGCCAATAGAATGTCAGTTAGAAAATGTTATACAAATATAAATTCGTAAAACTACGGAAATAAAAGATTAATATATATCCCGATTCTCAAATAAGCAAAGTTCTAATATATAAATGTAACCAACCCGACTAGTATAGTTGTCTTTCCTTAAAGACCAAACTTTTAACAAATGATTGCAATTTACGTATGTATTTACGTGCAATTGTAATAGATTGCAATTTACGTATAAAAATAAACACTATGACGCATGCATTTTTAATTTACTGTGTGTGTCTCTTGCTTTAATTGGCATTTTATTAAGCGTCAACCATTTCTCTTTATAAGACCAGATTTCTACAGTTGACAAGAGGACATTGTTTGCAAACATGCATGAGGTTTCCAATCTTTGCTGACAATATTAGCGTATAGCATTAAAGTGGCTATAAAATCAAAGCGGCTGTTTATCAATTACCAGGGAAGTTATTGGCAAATATTTTTTACATTATTATACTTACACCTTATTATCACAGAAACAGGAACAGTGGAAACCTGTTGATAACGTAAAAAGCAGAGTTAAAGCTCCTCCATAAACCCATGATACTAAATATTGGCTCGACGTTTTAGATCGTTCGAATAACTTATTGGCACATATTACTGCGGGCACAATCCAAATGCCATGGGTTAAGACATTTGCTAATTGCTCAATCTACAATAATAAAATAAAAATCGTATAAATGACAATCATTGTTTTCTTTCAAGTTCTCGTCTTACCTCTGTTGGCTTGTATGCACAGCCTGGGTCAGCTTTCTTATTCTTCCATTTGATATTTTTCAATTGCAGTTTAAAAGTTGAATTTGATTTCGTCCATGACTTCCAACAATTTGTTAAAAGGTTGTCTAGAAAGGAGTACTTGTTTTGGACTTCCTGTATAACGGTTCTCATAACGCCTCGTCTTTTGTTTGCAGCCACTCTTTTAAAAAATCTTCAACATCAAAGATTTATAGAATATTCCAATTGTCACAAAGAAGATTTTAAACAATAGCCAAATGGTTATTGTTGCGATTACAAACGAACAAATGGATTAGCTTTACATGCACACCAATTTATTTTCTTTTCAGTTTATAAAGAGGTGAGATATTCACAATAACAGACAAATCGATTTACTTTATTGTTATTATTGAAAAGGTACTATTGCGGCTCGCTATCTAAGCGTATTTTTTATTATTGCTAGTTGAGTATCTTATCTGCGTCGGTGCTAGACGGTAGCCAAAGTTCATTATCAGTTACAAAAGTAGAAAAAACCAAATTTTATTATTATTGTTTCTCATTAATCCAATTGTTCGTTACTAATCGGCATGGGAACAAAATAAATCTATATGAGAATATTACCTTATGATATTGGTACCTGCCACAAAGTATAGATACGTTTTGTATAAGTTTCTTGTGTCAGTTTAACAAATCATTGCATTTGGCATAGTCCTTCCTCGATTTGGGTACACAATTCTTCTTTTTTGTGGATAAATTAATTTAGTTCCCTATCGAAAAATTAGATATGAAAATAAGATAATGTATTCATTATGTTTTGGTTATTTAGACGTATTTAGTTTTGTACTGCTGTTACACCACTTAATGGATCACATTTGAATAAACTAGAATTCAAAACGCCTTGTGAGGAATTATCAAATCAGCCACAGCTGAACATAACTTTATAACCATATTAATAAAAGCTGACATCGAGCAGTACCCGGTCCCATTTCCACCAAAACCACTTGTGCATAAAAGCTCAATATTTTAAAGAAACTCACTAGACACCCCAATAGCGTTCCACTGTTTCTCTTGCCAATGCGAGGTATGCGACACAGCCGAACCGGGTAATTAAAGCTACTTTAAGACGATTTAAGAAACTAACATTAGACTTAAGCATCTCTCTGTTTAATACCCCTAACGTACCATGCGCAACCCATATTCACTTCGGCTGTCAATGTTTTCGAAAGTACCTACATGATAAAGAAGTATGACATTGCATGGAATGGAATAGTGCTAATATAATGCATAAAACATGTGATTAAGAAATAATAAAATTGCATGGAATGACTCGGCATTAGAATATGAAAAGAGAAACAACAGCACACCATTCCTATAACATGATTTTATTAATACCGCGTACATCGTAAGGCTAGCGAATATAAACAAAAACAGGTATTTTAATGAAAACAAGTCAACTGTACAAAGTTCGTATTCCATTTAAAATTATTAATACGAGAGAAGAACTACACTATTTAATTGAAAATTTGTATAACATATAGTTGAAAACTCAGTTTGTCAAAAAATATACATCTGAGCATATTTACCTATTCCTGCTTTATTATGGCGATTTCCTCCTATTCTCTTTCTAAACAAAGCCAATCTGAATGTTTTTATTTATGTTATATAGTATGTATGGTACGAAAGAACGTAAATATGAATGTATATAGGTACCATCCATGTATACTGAACATCAAAACAAGAGATCAATATTAAAAACAGAGCAAAGGTGTATGATGATTCCAGCCCGAATTTGCCAATATGCTATACTGTAATTAGATTATTCCAAATTTTTTTCCACAAAAATCTTGTCGCTAAGCCTTCGCTTTTGAACATGTACACTTAAGAAAGAAAATGGTAATCGCACACATGCACAACAAACATTCGTAAATATTTACACATTGGCTTTTTGCGGGGAATGAAATTTTAATTTAATTATAATCAAACATATTCTGTAATCACAATGCATAAAGTTATCGTAAAAAGGGACCAGAGCCCTCACTTTTTTATTTGTATAAATCAATTTGGACTTTGAGACGTTGATTTAAATTGATTATTTATTACCGTTAATTCATGCTTTTGACAGCTTTTTGGCACTCGGCAATAACGAATTGTTTTCTTATTGCTTAAATAATTTTGTAAAATCAATCAATCCATTCCACGGAGAACCTAGCCACATGAAAATAAAACCAATAACACAACCTAGACCAGCCAGCACACAAAATAATTGCAAAAAAACAAAGGTTGCACGAATAGTTGCCATATCTGGCAAATTTTGACAATTACATATCTATGATATATGCGGCCTAAGAGCGTGTTTACATTACTTAAATCTAATAATATTCCTTTTAGTCCGTTTACACTACATTAAAAAAGGTTTTAAGCATACTACGCATGGTAGAAAAATACAGGTAGATGCATCAGAGCTTTGGAACATTGATATGTCAAAATTTTTTAAATATTTCTTCAAAAATAAGTATATTTGTATATGTTTTTCTACACGACGCCAATCGGTGGTTGTTGTAACATGCATTTTTTAACTATATTTACAAATTTGAGTAATTTTTCATTCAACAATTTCGATTCCAAAATTGGTTTGACAGTTCATTGTCCCAGCAGCTGTGTCGAAGCGTCTACCTATATTCTTCTACCATGATACTACGTTATTTGTTTGCTAAAGTCTAGTTTACACTTCACGTTAAAGTAAAATGACTTTCTCACATTTATATTTTGCATATTTACACTAACAATAATAGAATATTGTTTGCTTTACTCCAACATTTAAATTGTGCGTTTTACGAAGTTTTCGTATTTATTTGAAGTAAATTCAAAGGAATTGACAATGTAAAGAACGTAAATGGTGTACAGTCTATACAATAATAATAATTAAAATAGGAAAAATTTAATTTATATGCGACTCTAACATGACTTTGAGAAATGTCTTTTCAAAGTTCCCTTGTTTTGTCGTGCGAAGATTTCAAGCTGCCTATGTAATCTCGTATTTAGAAATCTCCTGAATACATTTTTTGTTTTATAGTCAAAACATATGAACAGTAATACTCAAAATAAATTCGAAAATTTTAAAATTCCAGCTTTTGGGGAAAAATATGTGTATAAAGTTAAAGGCGTCGGTTTACTTCTTCGAAAATGTTTAAAATTGGCCCATAATCCATACTTGTTCACCCCACGCTTCTTTGTTCTTTTAAAAAGAATCCATCTAATGACTTAAGCCAGTACAAAAACAGTTAAATTTTAATTTGGTCATGATAATACATTAGAAGATGCATTTTATATACCCTCCACCAAAAAAAGTATGGAGGGTATATTAAGTTCGTCATTCCGTTTGTAACTCATCGAAATAATCATTTTAGACCCAACAAAGTATATATCAGCGTAAAATTCTAAGACGATTTAGCCATGTCCGTCCGTCTGTCCGTCTGTTGTAATCACGCTACAGTCTAAACGAATTAAGATAGGCAGCTAAAATTTTGCACAGATCCCTCTTTTGCCTGCAGGCAGGTCAAGTTCGAAGATAGGCTGTATCGGTCCACGTTATCGTATAGCCCCCATATAACGGTACCCCCCGATATTCGGTATTTTGATGATTTTAGCCACATTTTCTAATGGAATGGTCTGAAAATCCACACAAGAAGTTCCTTGTGGGTACTTTATCCCTTGAAAGAGAGTTGTCTATATAGGTCCACGGTATCGTATAGCCCCCATATAACGGATCCCCCCGATATTCGGTATTTTGATGATTTTAGTCACATTTTTCAACGGGATTGTCTGAAATTGTACACAAGAGGTTCGTTGTGAGCAGTTTACCCCCTGACAGAGAATTGTCTATAAAGGTTAACGATATCGCATATCCCCAATATAACGGCACCCCCGATATTCGGTATTTTGATGATTTTAGCCATATTTTCCTATGGTATTGTCTGGAAATCCACACAAGGAGTTCTTTGTGAGCACTTTAACCACTGAAAAGTAATTGTGTATATAGGTTCCCATATATCGGCACCTTCCCATATTTTCAAGATTTTCAGGCATGTCACAGAATGTAAAATCGTTCAAGAGTGAAAACGAAAACGGTTTTAGCTTCTCTAAAAAACGGAAAACGCAAAAATTTTGCGTTTTGATATCACTTTCAAAAAGCAGGGTGAAATTGAAATGTTTAGTGATTTTAACGTAAAAAATAAACAGAAGACACATACATTTAACAGAAAATATTGTATTAACCAAATTCTCTAAGAATGAACATGTTTTTGGAATTTATTTTACAAAAAATCTATTATTTTTCTAATCCATGATGAAAACGCAAAAAAATATGCAGAAATGAACGGCAGACTTGTATTGTTAAATTGAAGGTGTAGAAATGTACAACTGACAGACCAAAAAGCAAGAAAGGGGAAAAACAAAAAAACAATTAATTGTTTGGTTTGAGACAGAGCGCTTCAGTCAATCGGGCAAAAATGTAAGTACTTAGCTCCACATCTCTACCTATAACTCCTTGAAATGCACCCGTAGCCAAAAACCTAAGCGTTGTTGCAAGCTGGATAATAGCCGGTATATTGGAACGTTTGAGGTGGGGAGAAATTTTTTCCAAAACTAAAACAAAAGCTTCTTTATTTAGCCGATAATAAGTTATAAATCTGTAGAAATAAATTATTATTAAAATAAATTTGAAAATAACTCATTGCTGGTGGATCCTTACTCTGCATTTGAGTGAGATAAAGGATCTGATGCGTTCCTCAACGTTTAACACATTTTTTAATGGATTTTATTTTTTGAAAAATTTCTAATTCGTTCCAAATGGTGGAGGGTATTCAAAGTTCGGCCCGGCTTTTTAAATTGTTTGCTTTCAGAAGTTCACTAATATGAGTAAACACTTATTTTTCAACATAAATTGTCTCTATATTTGTTTTTTTACACATTTTAGTTATTTTGCTTGTGTATTTATGCCATGGTAGAAGAATACGGGTAGCCTCATCAACACTGCTGTTGCGACAATGAAATGTCAATTTTGGAATTTAAATTTTTAAATAAAAAATTATTCAAATTTGTAAAAAATGCTTATAACTTATACAAATCTACTTATTTTTGATGAGCGTTGAGCTACCTGTATTCTTTTACCATGATTTAGACGTAAACAAATATCAGCTGAGCGGCATTTATTTCTCCTAATGCTAAGTTCACATGACACGTGATTTGTGTACTTGCGCCTGAGTGAAGATGGATATCAGTGAATTTATAATAGAGAAGATGGACATAAGTGAAATTATAATAGAGAACGTAAAGAATTATGTGTTCTTGTATAATTCATTGTAGTCAACAAATGAGCAAAAAGTAAACAACTTCATCAGCTGTTTTATAATTTCGTCGGTATTGTGTTCCATACGACGAATTTTCGCGGCTCATTTTGTCGCCGCGTAGGGCGAAATTCGTCGTTCGCTCCAATTGTGTTCCTAGCATAAAGGTGACAATACATAAATCAAAGTAGGAAACAAAGAAATAATTATTTTTGTATAGACAAAAAATGTCAAGTTCCTATCCAGAAACACGAAAAATATATTTAAAATTTCAACATTTACAAAAACTTCAAAACATAAATGAAAATTTTAAAATGAATGATAAAACAAATATTTGGAAGAAGAACAATAATCTCGTCGATTCATATTAATGCGAATTTCATATATTTTGGTACAAATTCCCATTTAAATCAACAAATAAAAATTTTGAAAAAAGGAATTATGTTACTTACGAATCGTGCGAACTGGTTAATTCATATGTGCAAGAATGGAATAATTACTGAAGGTAGAACAAAGCTACATCCTCAATACAATTTTTTTCTTTTTGTGCCCTTATTCTGCCAAAACATATACACATTTTGTGTATGTGTGTGCATTGTTTTGAATAACAAAAATTGCTTGCAAAATAAATGCAAATTTTGGACTGTATTGTCCTACTATTTTAGATTCAATCTTGTGGAATAACCCCGAAATGCCATTCTTGTTACGCGGGGCATTCCCAAAATAAGAATTTTGTTAAAATAAATGAATAATAAACAAAGCCAACTGTTGCATATTAAAAAGTATATTTCTATATGTATTCATATACGACGCCAATCGGAGGTTGTTATGATATGGATTTTTTAAACAATTTTTACAAATTCCAATAACTTTTCATTCAACAATTTCAATTCCAAAATTGTTCTTTCAGTTCAGTTCATTCTCTGCAGCTGCTTCGAAGCTATTACTTGTATTCTTGTACAATGATGGTATAAATGCGATATAAACGTATTTTAAACACTCCAAAGTCGCAAATGTTTCCACTAAGAACATAATATTATTTTTGGCTATTTTTTAAAATATTTTTTTTGTGCATGTATTTGTAAAGAAGCATCAGCTGAGCGTCATTTATATCATCCTAAGGAAACATTTGCTGCTTTGGAGCGTACCAATGTTAAGCCCAATGATTAATATGCAGATTTTGCACCGCATTTAAAATATATCCGTTCTCACGAACGGATCTATTTTTGTATGGTAAGTCTGGTTGAGTAATAAATCTTAATAATGTGGATCAATTCGGATAAAATGTTGTATCTAAACGTGCTATTAATCTTCTATAGCTTAAACGCGCAAAAATGTTCGAATTCCATTGTCATATATTTATTTTCGTATTTTTTTCTGTACTTTTCTACTAATCATGGTAGAATTAATATAGTAAAATAATGCACTAATATGTTAACAATTGTTTTAAAATTTGACAAAATAAATTACAGAAAATGCAGAGATGCATATACTTATTTCAAAAGACTTTACCTTCTTAATTATAATACGCAAAACATCATACTATTTTTGCAACTTTATAATATAAAATATAACAGCTCTTATAATCTGTTTGTTTGGGCCAAGGCAAATGTATCAGGTACTCGCATCGGCAAATTGCTACAACAAAGCAACTTTTGTGGCACCATTAAATGTCAAAAATATATTCGCCTTGAGGCCTAAAGTTTGCGGCCAATTTGCTTCAACCAGTTACAAACAAGATGTTTGTTTACATTGCATACCTTGTCTTAGTCGAACGCACTTATTCATATAATAAAATATTTTTATATTTTAAAGAAGCGCAGAGGAAATGGAAAGTAAAGGGAATATATTTGATAATAAAGGAAATTTTGAGTGGGTAGAACAACAAAAAATTGTGTTGCATTCATTATGGCAAACAATTTTTGATATATCAATATTGGCAACTGCTGATGCAACTACATTTATTCTTCTGCCGTTTCATTCACTAGGGCGAATTGAAACTTACAACAAATTGTTTTGACATTTTATGGTGCCGTCAGCTGGGCTGATGCGACTACCTAGTAGATCTGCCTTGGTTCCAGTCATGGTAGAAAAATACAGGTAGATGCATCAACGCTTAGGAGCATTGATATGTCAAACATTTTTAAATTTCTTTTCAAATAAAAGTAGATTTTTATATGTTTTCTTATACGACGTCATTCGGAGGTTATTATAATATGCCCTTTTCAACAATTTTTACAAATTTAAATAATTTTTCATTTAACGTTTTGACAGTTCATTGTCTCAGCAGCTGCGTCGATGCGTCTACCTATATTCATCTACCATGGTTCCAGTACTTTTTTAGTAGTAAAACTAGCAGAAGAGAGAACAGTTCGAAATGTCATTCTCATTTAGGTGTGCTCAAAAAATAAGGGAAAGGAAAATTAGCAGAAATGCGATAAAATGTCAAAATTCAGTAAACAGTCTAAATCGGACTGGTGAAACCTTACTGAAAAGGAGGCCAAAATTTAAAAAATGAGTATTGAAGACGATAAGTTAAAATTAATAATCTATAATATTAATTAATAATCTGATTCCTCATTCAGCCAGTTCTCTTTACTGCTGGAATCATCCAAAAGTGAATACATCAGTTGCTCCATATTTTCTCTTTTTGTTTTTTGCGCGACAAATATTAGTTTTTCCTTTAGTTTTTAAGTTGATCATTTTCTTTATTTTTGTTGTGACGCGCGAACATTGAAATGTATCAATATATTTTTCAACCTTGTTAGGCCTGCAAAATTAAATGTCAAATTTACAATATGCACATTTCTGCTCGGCCAAATTCATGTAGCTAAAACAAGCAAAAATGTGCACCACTCAGCACAATTTTTTTCTCAGGAGAGCTGCAAGTTTTGCTAGTTTTTGGAGTACGGGAACGCGTTGTAGCAGAATTAGTACTAATTTGTAGGTTCTGGAACACAACTAATATGAGTAAAAATTGGCGTTTACATACTGAAAGCGTGTTTACATTCAAAATTGTTCTCAGATTAAGCCTCATCATTAGGATTTATATTCAACCAGATTTATTATAAAAAAATCTGAATCTGAAGACTGGATTAATTTTAAATCCGGTGGTGTACGAACTGTATCACTGTGATTTTTAGCGGTACAACGCCTTTGGCGTTGTCATGATCCAAGCATAAGGTTCCCCAAGGTAGATATACAAGGTAGTCGCATCACCGCAGCTGACGGCACCTTTAAACGTCAAAACAAATTGTTGTAATGCTGAATTTGCCCTAAATAAATGCAAAACAAAAACAAAGTCTGTTTTTGACTTCTTCACTAAAAGTATTTTTTCTAATATTTTAACATTTAAGAGCAAGTTTAGAGTGAATTACCAGTAAAAAAAATTAAAAAGAAAATTAAAAAGTGTTCCATTTGCAATAAGAAATACCGTGAGTCACGAGAGCTATGACTCAGTTGATCATATAACACAAACTGTGTAAATGTTCTGATAGAATAGGGTCACCAAGTGAAAAAACAATGAATTTGGGCTATGAATGATATTCGCAGACTTTCTATCAGCATTCTTTGCTTTTTCATCAAAAGCAACATCTTCATTTAAAGTGTTCTTTGGACTCTTTGAATATTGTTTAGTATTATTTGCCTAATTTCCTGGCGTAAATTATTTGCACTGCAATAAAACCTGATTTTTCTAGTGAATATTAATCGTTATAATCGAACAATTTTTTATTTTGTTTCAGAACCTGAAGAATCTACTACCTTTGACATGTCATTTGCTTTTTAAAAATTACCAAAATACCTTGGTATTGCCCCATTAATCTACTAGTATTGCAGTTTTTCATTATCAGAAAAGAAAAATCATTTATCGAAGTAATATTTTTACAGGTTCTAGAACAGAGCATCTTTTGTGATTAATTAATTATCACTTTTAAAAGGCACAAAAATTTGCAAAAAATGCAATCGTTAGACTCGTTTTTTTGCGTTTTTATTGCATTTTTATATTCTTCATCATAGTATGGAGGGCACATTAAATTGTCATTTCGTTTGTAACACCTCGAAATATACATTTTATACACTACAATATAAATATATTCTTGTAAAATTCTTTGTCGATTTAGTGATGTTCGTACGTCCGTCTGTTTGAGGTCTAATAAACTTAATAATCAAATTTCGATCTACATTCACTCTTTTGGATGCCAAGCTGCCGTTAAAAATTACCAATGCATTCCGATAAATGTACTGTTGGGTGCGGTCTATGGGCTGGTGGAATCATCGGTCCTTATTACTTTTAAAAATGAGGAAAGACGAAGCGTTACCGTGTCATACTGCAGGCGAAACAATGGATTTGATTACTAAAATACGCCCTCAAATGCTGGAAAAAGTTGTCGAAATTGGACCTTCAATGACCTTTGTGCAAAATAATTGTGGTGAAAATATGCTCGAAATAATATTTAAATGCTAAATTACGAGAATTTATCTACCAAATGAATTTTTTTGGTCATTTCATAATTTGACATTTGTTTTATTTAAATTTCAAATCACCAAGCTTTTAGAAAAAAAACACCCTCTATATTACTTTTTGCGTAGTAATATAATTTGCATTTCTCGAAGAATTGACACTCTTTGGTAGATCACAAGGAAACTCATGATAGAATTAAGAAGGTAAAGTCTATGATTGTATGATTATGTTTACATTTTTTTCAAAATTATTAATTTGACAACATCTCATTGTCAAAATGTATATTTATAAAACCATTGTACATACACAAATCAGAGGTGAGAATCTATTGCCCATGCAGTTATATTTGACAAGCTTAGTTACAGAAAATGTAAAAATGTGAATGCTTATTTGAAATGACTTTACCTTCCTAATTTTACTATGAGGAAACTCAAGCCCATTGTGCTTATTGTCGGGGCAAGGCCAATATATCGAAATATCGAAAAAAATGTAAACTAGTAGATTCTTGAAGGATCTGGAACAGAACATACTTGCAAGAAATTTAACGTTAAGAAATTTAGATCTGTCTTGATTTTCTATGTGTTCATAGGGCGGACTAAAATTATATTTTGACAGAATTTGGTTAATATTTTCTGTTGACATCTCTCTTAATTTTATATGTCTTGTATAATGGTAGAAATTCCAGGTAGCTGCATCGGGGAAAATTGCAACAAAGCACTTTTTCTGGTAACATATAAGAGCTGTTCCAAGAACCTCCTAGTTTTGCATTTTTTTTTCGATATAATAAAGGGAAAATCGGTTATCATAGAAAAAACTTTTACATTCTTGCAGTTCTGGAACATACCAATAATGTCAGAAATTGTTAACAAGGCAATTTCACCGTGGGATTAATTTAATTTCACCAATGTTTGTACCATGGTAGAATTAAGGAGGTCAAGTCAAGCAATCATATGTATACAATTTTTTTAAAATTATTCATTTGACAACATTTTATTGTCAAAATTGGTATTTATAAGTCCAGTGTACATGAACATTTGGTACAGCTAATACGGCCACTTCATCTGCTCCCAGTTTATTTGGCGCTGCTAATACAGCTACATCAACTGGTTTTGGTGGTTTTGGAGCAACAGCTGCTACCTCGCAAGCGCCAACGTTCGGTGGGTTTGGTACATCTACGGGTAATACAGCAGGTGGATTTGGTGGCTTCGGAGCGACAACTACCACATCCACAGCTCCAGCGATTGGAGGTTTTGGAACTCAGACATCAACTGGAGGATTTGGATCCTTTGGAACCACGTTTGGGAAACCAGCCACAAATACAACAGTCACACCGGGTTTTGGGGGATTCGGGGGTAACACCGGCTTTATGATGGGTCAACAGCAGCAGCAGCCTCCTCCCATCTCCGCGGATGAAGCTTTCGCTCAATCTATTTTTAATGTTTCCATTTATGGCGATGAACGGGACACAATCATCGCTAAATGGAATTACTTGCAAGCAATGTGGGGTATTGGTAAATCATTTTATTCACAAAATGCAGCACCGGTTGACATTACACCTCAAAACTATTTATGTCGGCTAAAAGGCTACAGTCGCTTGCCAGGAAAGGACAATAAAATGGGACTAGTTGCACTGAATTTCAATAAACCCCTCGCCGATATAAAAGCTCAACAGCAACAGATAATCACTACATTGAATGGGGTTTTTGGTAATGGACCCAATTTACAAATAAACATAGAGTCAAGTAAGGAATGTGATGAAAAGAAAAGTCAACTTGTTATTTATGTTGAGGAGAGATCACAATTGGCACCCAACGATACAAAACGTATTTTGGCCACCGATTTGGCAAACTATCTAAATCAGGCCAATGTCAAGGGACAGCTAAATAATTTGGGTGTTTCAGAAGTCTTGGCTTTGGTATTGCCCGATGAAGATCAACTTAAGGAATATCTTGAGAATCCACCTAAAGGTGTTGATCCTCGCATGTGGCGACAAGCAAAGCTTGATAATCCCGATTCCACAAAATTCATACCGGTTCCAATGGTTGGTTTCAATGATTTAAAATAGCGTATAAAGTGCCAAGAAAATGAAACTCAAACCCATACCCTGTATCTGCGTAAAGTCGAAAATGATTTAGCCGAGTTAAGACAAAGACATACAGCAGCAACTGCAAAAATAATGAAATACAAACGTAAATTGGCCGAATTAAGTCATAAAATATTGAAGATAATTGTCAAACAAGAATGCCCAGGTAAGGTTGGTTTGGCCCTGACGCCAGAGGAAGAAAATTTACGCTCCAAATTAGAAAATATGCATGCTCTTATATCGGCTCCACAACAATTTAAGGGTCGTCTCAGTGAATTGTTGTCTCAGATGCGTATGCAATGGAATCAGTATGCCCTAACTGGTGGTAGTGAATATACCATCGATAAAGATTGTGAGGAAGAAATGAAATCCTTTTTGAGCATGCAACAAAAAGCAATGGAAGTTCTTACCGATACTGCAACAAAAGACTTGAAAGCTCTGCAAATTATTTTTGACGGAATGCCAGAATTGGTACGAGGTTAATTCCGTTTTTTTCTGTTTTATTAATTAGGTTTTTTATAAGAGTTTTTAAAGTAAATTCGAAATTTTTTGTGAAAAAAAATAAATTGAAAATTACTTTCATATAAAAAAAAACTTTCATATACACAAATCCGATATTGGTAACATGCAAGGTAGATCTAACAGGTAGCCGCATCGGCGAATTGCTACAACAAAGCAACTTTTGTGGTCCCCTCAAATGTCAAAATTGGCATCTAAGGCGAAAAACATTGATTCGCCATGACATTTAAAGGTTGCGGCAAATTTGTTTCAACCAATCAGAAACGAGGTGTTTGTTACATTTTATTTTGTGTGCCTCTCGTCGTAAACGAACGTCGCAATAAAAGTTTTTATTGTAAAACAAATAAGAGTAAAATAAGTATTAATTGTAGTATTGCGATATTTTTTAAGCCATGAAACTTATAATGACTATATTTTACTGGTTTAAACCGAAAGTTTTCCGGAACTGCAAATGACAAGAGTCGAATTCTTGCACTACTTCCCGTGATGTGCTTTGGGAATCTTAGATGTTGAGGCTAATTTAATTCTTAAAGCTGCACTCCATTCTAACCTCCTTCCTTCATTTTCTTTTATTTTTTTACTGGTTTTACTCTTAACTTGCTCTTAAATTTTTTAAAATATTATAAAAAGTTACTTTTAGGGAAGACAACATAAACAAATTTGTTGTTGCATTCATTTAGGGCGAATTCTTCATTACAACAATTTGTTTTGACATTTAATGGTGCCGTCAGCTGGGTTGATGCGATTACCTAGTACATCTACCTTGGTAACATGTTTATTGTGTAGTGAAATGTGATAACATGGTAGAATGATGAAGGTAGCCTATTCAGCTCAGCTGATTGACAATGAAATGTCAAAATAATGTCAAACGAGTTGTTGTAATTTTAATTCGCCGCAAGATTTTATATATATGGGAGCTATATCTAAATTTGAACCGATTCTCACCAATTTCAATAGGGTTAATCATTGGGCCAAACAAATATCGTTTGGAAAATTTCAACTCAATCGAATAATAAATGCGACGTGCATTTTGTTTACAAAAATACATAGACAGACGGACAGACAGACGGACGGACATTCATAAATCGACCCAAAATGTGATTCTATGCAGATCAACAAAATCAACTATGTGTCTATCTCGTTTCCTTCTCCTTGTTACAAAAAAATGTACAAAGACATAATACCCTTACCACTATGTGGTGTAGGGTATAAAAATGGACGAACGACAGATAAATGTGCTTTTATACCCTCCACCAAAAAAGTATGGGGGGTATATTAAGTTCGTCATTCCGTTTGTAACTCATCGAAATAATCATTTTAGACCCAACAAAGTATATATATTCTTGATCAGCGTAAAATTCTAAGACGATTTAGCCATGTCCGTCCGTCTGTCCGTCTGTTGTAATCACGCTACAGTCTAAACGAATTAAGATAGGCAGCTAAAATTTTGCACAGATCCCTCTTTTGTCTGCAGGCAGGTCAAGTTCGAAAATGGGCTATATCGGTCCACGTTATCGTATAGCCCCCATATAACGGTACCCCCCGATATTCGGTATTTTGATAATTGTAGCCACATTTTCTAATGGAATGGTCTGAAAATCCACACAAGAAGTTCCTTATGAGTACTTTATCCCTTGAAAGAGAATTTTCTATATAGGTCCACGATATCGTATAGCCCCCATATAACGGAACCCCCCGATATTCGGTATTTTGATGATTTTACCCACATCTTTCAACGGAATTGCCTGATAATCCACACAAGGAGTTGCTTATAGGTACTTTATTGCTTGAAAGAGAATTATCTATATAGGTCCACGATATCGTATAGCCCCAATATAACGGTACCCCCCGATATTCGGTATTTTGATAATTTTAGCCACATTTTCTAATGGAATGGTCTGAAAATCCACACAAGAAGTTCCTTATGAGTACTTTATCCCTTGAAAGAGAATTGTCTATATAGGTCCAGGTTATCGTATAGCCCCCATATAACGGTACCCCCCGATATTCGGTATTTATATGATTTTAGCCACATTTTTCAACGGAATTGTCTGATAATTCACACAAAGAGTTCCTTATGGGTACTTTATCCCTTGAAAGAGAATTGTCTATATAGGTCGACGATATCGTATAGCCCCCATATAACGGTACCCCCCGATATTCGGTATTTTAATGATTTTACCCACATATTTCAACGGAATTGTCTGAAAATCCACACAAGGAATACCTTGTGGGTACATTATACCTCGGAAGAGAATTATCTATATAGGTCCACGATATCGTATAGCCCCCATATAATGGTACCTCCCGATATTCGTTATATTGATGATCTTAGCCACATTTTTCAATGGAATTGTCTGAAATTCCACACGAGGAGTTCATTGTGAGTACTTTATCCCTTGGAAGAGAATTATCTATATACACGATATCGTTATCCCCCCATATAACGGTAACCCCGATATTCGGTATTTTGATGATTTCAGTTACATTTTCAACGGAATTGTCTGAAATTGTACACAAGAGGTTCTTTGTGAGCAGTTTACCCCCTGACAGAGAATTCTCTATATAGGTTAACGATATCGCATATCCCCAATATAACGGCATCCCCGATATTCGGTATTTTGATGATTTTAGCCATATTTTCCTATGGTATTGTCTGAAAATCCACACAAGGAGTTCTTTGTGAGCACTTTAACCACTGAAAAGTAATTGTGTATATAGGTTCCCATATATCGGCACCTTCCCATATTTTCAAGATTTTAGCACAATTTTTAATGGATTTTATTTTTTGAAAATTTTCTAATTCGTTCCAAATGGTGGAGGGTATTCAAAGTTCGGCCCGGCCGAACTTAATGCTTTTTTACTTGTTAAATTTTAATTTGGAAAAAATAGATGAATGCGGATCCGAAGCATGGAGCACATTTGTAAGCAAATTGAACAATTCCACCAAAAAACGCTTCAAAACAGGCTATGAAATATATTTCAACTCCTATATAAGTAAAATCTGATATGAGGAGCTCGAACTAGTTTATTAATAGTAAAACTTTATGTGGTTATAGGGACAATGCATTCAAACCATTACTCGCATAAGATCTTCGGGGTGAGATCAATTATCTAACCCAAAAACCAAGACCTGGGAAAGGAATGCTATCCAAGCGATAATGGAAAAGATCCAAAACCTGTCTTTGCGAAACACAAAAGTTGTCAATTAAATTTAATACATTTGGAACATAATCATCTCGTCAACTTACCTGGGCGTTGCCTTCTTTAACAAAAGACCAACCGTCTTCTTGTTGTTCAGGAAGCCGCACAGATTTTTCAAATTATGAATGTATGTTGATTCATTACATTTCATTTGTTGAAGCCTATTGCGATGAAGTTTACAAAATTTAAAACAAAATTGACAGTAATTTTCCTTTTGTTTGTTCTTCCAACGACAACTACTTCTTATTGGCTGAAAACAAATTTACTTTAAATTTGAAACGTCAAGGCGAATCGATCTAAATTCGCTTGTGTATTTGAGAGATCATTGTACCAGAAATGTTGTTTTGTTGTAGAAACTCGCTTTAGCATCTACCTTTTTCTTCTACCATGTGTGATAAGGTAAATTACAGAAAATGCAGAGATGGGTATGCTTATTTGAAATGACTACCTTCTTAAGTTTACCATTCGTACCATGGTACAATAAAATCAAGGTAGGGTTATGTTTTTTATTTTCCTGGGTTAATACTTTATTTGTTAACTCTTTTCAATAATAAAAAAATCAGAAAATATTCAAATTCGGGTGTTTCCAAAATTCTTATTTCAACGTATGTATCTACAAAATCTACAGTTTTTGTAGTGAAATAAACCTTTAGAGATATATAGAACATAATTTTGAAAAGGTTTTCCATTATTTATTCAAAATCAATGCAACAAGCTGTTTGATTTTTTGATTGTTTTGATAGTAATTCTGACATTATAAGCCAAACAGGTAGACCTCTATTCTTGTAATTTTAGCCTACCTTGTCTTCGGTATACCATGATTTGTACCATAATTAAAAATGATTTGTGTTCCTAGAGGGTAAGAAACCTCCTTAAAATTAGCCCTGCTCAAAACCACGTTCTGGAACATGAGCCGAAAAAGAGATAATTTAAGAGAATATTACTATATTACCCACTGTAGCTGGGACGTGCTAATGTGGTGTTTCCACTACTCTTGATTCGCTCTCTATTCGTTGTTTGACCCTTATGTGGCGTTTCCACTGCACTTGATTCGCTCTCTATTCGTTGTTTGACCCTTAACTATGAAAAAACTACCTAATTCTTCACACAAAATTTCCTGAGCGGACACTCATATTTGTACGTTCTTCAAATCAAATCACTCTCAGAACAACGAAAAAATATGTCCCATCCCTAACAAATGAGAGCATTTATCGAAAAAATAAATTATGACATTTAAAAATTATAAATAGTAAAATTTAATGAAATTTTAAAAATTTTTGGGAAGACTGAAAATTATGAATGAAAACTACAATGTTGAATGGCGTATGTACATTCAAACGAAAGTAAATTTTGTTTTCTCTCTCATTCGAGGTACGCATTTGGTCCACGAGTTAAAATTTCTACAGAAAACTGCAAACAAAATAGTCAATATTTTCAAAATGTTTCTATCGGCAGAAAAAATGTTTGACAAGTGTCTCTTCAGCAGAATTTAAAAATGGAAAAACACAAAAATATGTTCAAAATGTCAACATTTACACAAAAAGTTGAAAACGTGAATGAAAATTGTAAAATTAATGAAATAATAAATCTTTGGAAGAAAAACAGTAATTTCTTATATTCATATTAGTGAGAATTTCATGTATTTTCGAATACATTCCCTTTAAAATCAACAAACAATTTTTTTGAAAAATGGAATTATTTTACTATGAATTACGAATCGTGCCGTATGAACGGGCATAGACAAATGAAAATATAGACAACGAAATGCTCTCACCGTTTATCTTCGAAAAAAATCGAATCAGCAGATGTCGT